CCCCCCCCCCCCCCCCCCCCCCCCCCCCCCCCCCCCCCCCCCCCCCACCCCACCCCCCCCCCCCCCCCCCCCCCCCCCCCCAGACCCCCCCCCCCCCCCACACACACACACGCACACCCTTCGCCGCCCGGCTGGCGCAGCAATTCATCGGCCAGCCGCTCCGGCAGCTGGTCCTGCAGCAGGCACTGGCGCGGCTGGAGTCGGCCCCGGCCACCGGGGCCCTGCTGCGCGAGTGGTCCTGCCACCGGCCGGCCGGGCCGAAGCTGTCGCCGGAGCACCACGCGCTGTCGGGCCTGTCGCTGGCCGGCAGCTCGCGGGCCCTGCTGAGCCCGCGCTCGGCCGACGGGCTGTCCCTGGCCGAGGAGGACCCCCTGCACCCGGGGTCCATCCCGCTGGAGCCGCTGTATCAGGATGGCCCGCTGGTCGGGCCTCTGGACGAGGAGGACCCGCCGATGGCTGCCCGGGCGCCGCTGCCGACGCCGGCCTCCCGGCGGGCGGCCGCCACACCGCCCCCCGACGATGGGGCCTCCTTTGCCGGGTTCCTGGGGTTTGTCTTCCGCGGGGAGTGGCTTCCCCAGCGCCAGCGCGGCGGCGCCGCGTCCATCGACCGGCCCAACCGCCTGTCCCTGGGGCTGCCGCTGCTCGGCCGGCCGACTCGCGCCTACATTGTACGTTGCATTTTGCCGTTGCCCTTCCTTTTGTCGCATCTCCGGTGTGGCACATGCATGGGGGTGTGCGCGCGCGCGCGCGCGCATGGCCACCCGCCTCTTCCCCCATCCGGCCGGCCGCGCGATCGGTCACTCGGACGTCCGGACAGCCGCACGATCAGCCTATCGCACTGGACCCCGGCATCGCACTGAACCCCAGCTGCAAACCCCCATCTCCGCGCACGCGCCCACATGCCCACCTAACCGCACCCGGCGCCGCGGCCGCCCGCTCGCTCCCAGCTGCGGCTTCGGCTCGCCGGCATCGGCCTGCTGATGCTGGATGTTGCCCTGCTGCTGGCGTCCATCTTCCTGGCGGTGTCGTCGCAACCCGGCACCGGCTGGCTGCTGACCGACCCGGCCCGGCGGGCGCTCGTGTCCTTCTGGTGGTCGCGCGAGCATGAGCCCGGCGGCTGGACCCCCTCACATCGCTACGGTATGTGCCCCGGCCGCGCGCGCCCCCCCCCCCCCCCCCCCCCCCCCCCCC